CCTGCTAGAAGTACTACAAATTAAACTACAGAGCGTCTCGTGTTTCTCAGCAGACAAACCTCTGACATAACTAAAGCTGTTGACTGGAGAGATACCGGTTTGGTTTCTGAATGGCGGCAGCTGGCTGGACACCTCAAACTGAGGAAACTGTTGTAGCTGCCAGTATTTCCATGAGGTCATCTCTGGCCAGTCAACCTCTCCTGGTTTATGGTCCTGCTAAGAGCTTGAAAAGGCGACAGGAGGATGAGTTTTTATTGCACTTAACAGCAACATAAACAGTGGTCTACTCTGTTCTTTCCGCATTAACGCTGTGCTCTGAACACAGCAAGGCGTCAAACGGATCTGGATTGAGCGTCCTACGTTTTCACCTCGCATGTTCCAGAAAGTTCAGACTTCTCTGGTGGAAGATGATTGAGACATCAAATACAAAGAGGAGTTATAAATGAAATGGGAAAGGGAAAAAGTGGCATAAATGGGTTTTAAAACAATAAAATGAGTAATCTGGATGTCCTCATAAATACTTGCCAGAGTTTCTCAAAGTCATTGTCTAGTCAGCCCAAGGTGTCACCAAGTACTACACATCCTTGTGGTTTCCCTGTGAATCAGTCCCACTAAGAACTGTTATATTCTGCCAGCACGGCCTTCAAGCTCCCAACTTTAGTGGTTCATCATTTTGACATGCCATTGTGCAGAACCTGCTTTCTGTTAAAGTATCCAAGCTTTAAAAAAAAAAAAAAAAAAGCTCTGACATCACTTAGCAGAATAACCATGTCAGCATTTCCACTACAAACTCAAACGGAAACCCCTGATTCAAAGAACCAGAGAGCCTCCTTAAAAGTTGAAACGAGGTTTATGCAAAGTTGCCTTAATTTTGCAGATTAATATGCGCTGCTAGTGATAACAACAGCTGTCAGTCATCTTCAGCTCTGTTAGATTTATTGCGGTTTAATGCAGTAGAAAGTCCCATTGCCCTCTTTATTTGGGTCACAAAGTGCTTTTTTTGTCAGTTTTTCACTCAACGGGTTTGATATACCTTTATTAGTCCCACAAGGGGGTTGAGGGGAATGTACATGCAGTTCGTCTTTTTTTAAAGTCCCAGAACATGTTTTAAATTCTTCTACCATCAAAGGTTGTTTCTGAGCCTTCTGCGAGGTCCGAGGAGGAATTTCAAAGCTGCCGATAAGCTTAACTGTGGGAGGGAATAAAGGTGTTCCGCCCACTTCATCTGGCTCTAATTAGACTGCAGGAAAGTGCATTTTCTGCAGCACTTGGTTTCCTTTATTTCCAGATACTTTTGTTCTGTGGTCACCATTCTCGGTTTTCTGACTCAACAAGTAAGGAAAGTATGTAAGCTGCTGTTTAGTCTGTAAACCTTAGCCATGACTCTCATTTGCCAGAAAACCTCCATACTTTATTTATAGCCCTGCTTTAAAAAAAATTGTCAGTTTTTCTTTTTTTATTATGAATTGTTCCAACCTGATTCTCTCAACATTATTCAAGTATGTCAGACTGTTAATAGGAAAATTGTACTTAGTAGTCAGTATAATCTTTTAATGATATAAGTTTGCATATGGTAGAATGCTGCATGTAATTATTTGTGTGTAGAAGTATATAGTTGGTGGCATATTGAAAGAATGTCTCATCCTAGGAGGTCTGTAACATTCTAGGGTGTTCACCCCCACATCCTAGGAGCATGGGAGAGGTCGTACCTTGTCTTATTGTTTTACGGTAGGATTAACGTAGCTATGTCAGTTTTAGTTTAAGTGCTTCTTTACATATAGATGAACTGTTGGATTTTCCAGACCAGCAGGTTAAGGGAAGTCGTTTATGGGGCCACACTCTGACCCCACACACACACACACACACACACGTACACGTACACGTACGTACACCTCCACATTCCAATGTAAGGAACAAACGCTCACTGAAGTATAAATAAAGACCGGGGCAGTTTCTCAGTGCGAGTCTCTCAGTCTGGAGGCTGCGCTTGCTAGCAAGAAGTTCTGTGTGTTTCTCTTCTCTGAGTCTTTACTGAAGAAGTGTTTTAGAATATATTCCTTAACACAGACACATTTAATCTTATGGAAATACTCTGATGTAGTAGAGGGAGCTTCCAGGATACGTGACATCCATTTGCAAGATCATAATACAGGGAAGTTAGCTGAAGTGTTTGCACATCAGTTCATTCAGACATCACACAGACTGCAGGAGAGTTCACAATTTGGGCCATTCTAATCAGTCATTTGCATATATGAAGCCGTTAAAGCGTGTTAGGCTGGCAAAAGCTGTAATGTTTAAAGACTGTCCACTTGCAAAACGCATATTCAGTAAATTTTATGTGCATATTTACTGCGAAAATGGTGCTTTTGTGACCAACTGATGGCTATGATTTATTTATTCCTTTTAAAAATGTGAAGCAAATGTTGTGAATAATTAACAATAACAGAAAGCATAACTTATTTAGGCTCATCAAAAGTTCAAACTTTATTTATTCTCGGGCGGTCATTCCCTATGGGTTAAAACCTTTTTGAGTTTACAGTCGTAACTACCATCCAGTATCAATCAGATATTTGAGTTTGGCGATGAGCACTAATCAAAAGTTCAGCCAAACGCTGATTGTTGATTGGCTGGCTGTTCTTGTTGCCTTAGCTCTCCATATGAGATTAAGCCATCTCAGCACATACTAGCTCTTTAAACATCCATTCTGATATATCTGTTGAAAAAAACAAGTAATTATAAAAGTAATCACTAACACTTTTTCTATAAAAGCATAATTTGATTAAAAATGCATTTTTCAGTGGCTAATCTGGCTGACAGGAGAAGGAATTTGTTTTTTTGTAATCCAGCATTGGTTCTACAACCCTGAGTGCAGACGTGATATTACGTCCAGCAGTCATCATTCATTCTCTCCCCTTCAATAATTTAAACTGTCTTCTTGGGAAGACTATTATAACTGGTAGCTCCAGATGAGTCACACTCGAGTAGAGATGAACTCATCTGAACAGTCAAACACCGATGATGATGTGTTTCCATGGCCCAGAACTGATGTTTACAGCTTATAGATAATTAGTACCTCTCACTCGTGTGCTTGGCTATTAAGCTTCATGTTTGTGGCAATGATTCAGGGGGAAAATATCTGAGGAGAAAATCGCAGTGAATAAATCAAGGAAGTGAAGTTAGCTGATTCTCAAACGCTCCTGGCTTCGGGGTTGTAAAAAGAGTGTTCAAAGAAGCTGAAGAGAACAGCGCTTTATGACACTTTCCCCAATTTCCTGATTGCTATATTCTTGTCTGCTTTTCCAAGTTTCCACTCAAAGATGGAGGTCTTTGCCCTGAGGGAGATGAAACAGCTGGATTATTGGCTCCATCCCAGGCTGCTGATTCTGTTTTTTAAAAGCTTTCTGCTGAAACCAGGTCTGAGTCCCTATTGGAGCTTCAAGTTTGTACAAACAGCAACAGTTAAGCTGCACATGTTCGTCTGGGGCTCATGGACAATTCAAGTAGAGGAGAATTTTGACTAACTAATAAGGGAATTTGTAAATTTGGAACCATTAAGCAGGCTATAGTCTAAACTCCCCAGATTCCCTTCTAATTAGCCCAGAAGGTCATAAATCAAGCCAGGCGCACACAGTTTTCTGGGACGTGCTAATTTCACCAGGTGTAGTGTCTTATGAATGGCCGTAATGTACTAAGACAATGAGTGGAGGCAAACTCATCAGAAAGAAATCTAGGCCAACTACTAAGAAACTTGAAGCATTTGCTCTAGGTACAAAGCCTTTTAAGACCTTTACAGTATCCTGAAGTTGGCATTACCCCTTTTGGTAAGCTGTGTCTTATTTTAGTTTTTGTTGTAGTTAGTATAAACACTGCTCTAGAACTTACCCCCAACGTATATCAAAACAGCACTTGATCCAGGTCCTAGAGTTGATCCTTGTCTACTCACTACTGGTACCCTTAAGGTTAATCACATGATCCTTGAGTCAATCCCAATATGGATAATTTTTTAAAAGTCTGCTAGATTTGCCTTCAATTGTCCAACTGGCGCTGTTCCACATGACTGAGATGCCCTTTTAATATTTGATCGAGAGAGTGTAGTTAAATAGCCTGATGGTCAACCTCATTCCACTTTGAGACATTGAAACCAGTGCCTTTGCAGTTCTTGGTGGCATTTTCCAGTCTGGCCTGGCTAGAGAATATTTCACTTATTTACACTTTTGGAGCAGTACTTGTAGTATCAAAAGGCAGCTAATGTCAAAGTCCATGTATAGTCGGCCCAAGTGGTTCTAGCTGCTCTAACAAATCGCCAATCTTCAATTGCTCATCTAGTGCTGTTCCTAATAGCCCATGTGCCCTTCAAGTTAATCTGCCAAATCTCCCAAACTCGTTACCAAGTAACTTAGTAAAAGCAATCCACTTTGCTGTGATGTAAAGCTTAACCCTTTAGTTTAGCTCCTTGGCCTCACAAGTAACTTCACACTCTTTCCTACCCCTTAATTAGTCCAAATGCTCAAGTGAACCTATTAAACCCACTTGCTTTCCAAAAGGTGCAAATTGATCCAAGTAATTGTATTAGCCCAAGTATCAGTGCAGAAACCCATTTTTTGTTCCTCTTACATAATGTCTACTTCTGCTAAGTCAAAGAGGCTTTTCCTTAAGTTAGCCCAGGTACCACTAATTATCGTGTCCCATTTGGCATAGGCACTGCTGCTTTACGCCACCACTGTGTATCAAAAGTGCACCAAGGTCACTTAAGTGAATCAAAGCCCTTATTTACTCAGCCCAAGTAATCCTAACCCTTCTACCACATTGTACACTTTTGGTTGTTCAAAATGTTCCTTGAATCAGTCCAAGGACTAACTCTTCTGTTAGATGCTTCGGTTAGAGCATAAACAACTTAGGATAGTAGTTGGTGGCCAAGGTATCCTTCAAGTCAGTGTACAATAGGAAACCCAGTCCTGCTTGTTAAGAACTCAACCCAAGTCTGCTTTGGTGTGATCTGAACTTGCTTTATTTTGGCTTCTGTCCTTTAACATGAAATGAACACACCAAAGTGGATTTTCAGTAGTTTTATTGAAAAATGCCTCTTCTGTTTTCAGAAATAAATAAGAAAATAAGGCTGTGGAATTCACAATCTGCAGTTAAAACATGAAGCAGCAAGACCATTTCCATAGTCTTGCATGCAGGTTTTGACCGCATTTGATACGATGACAATGACGATGACAAATATTCTGATTAAAACAAGATGAAATGTAGTGAACATGTACTAAATATACACCACAGACATGCAATTCCACCTTTGGTAAAAATTATCTGTGACAGAATAAAGGAAAACTGATAAATATAAAGATACAAAATGAAAGCGGTGTTTAACTGAACCTCCTAAAAGATGAACTGAATGAGAAAGGTTATACTGAACATACTGGATGAAGTGTGAAAGCAAAACAATAAACATTTCATATGTGATGTCCTGACACTGAACATTTTCCTTCCTGCTGTACTATTGCTAGCCTTGTTACCATGAGTGCACTGTTGAACACTGCTAGTCAATACAAACTCAATGCAAATATGTTACAAGCAAAAAGACAAATGGAAAAGGAAAGCTCACAGGTTTTTGTAGTTTGTTTTTTGTCTATTTTAAAATTGTGCCAGTCACCCCCGAACATCATCAGTCTAAACCCTTCGCCTGACACAAAAAAGAATATTCACATAGATTTTTAGGCACTGAAATGTATTACCCAATAAATTTGAGGTGTCAAACCCCATTTTTATTTATAATTTCATGAACGAACACAGGTTAAGGTGAAGAAAATTAAACGGATAAAGAAAACGCTACTTGTCTTTATGATGTTAGCCTGCTGGTTGTCTTTCTTGGTAGTGATCTCTTTTGACGCTGGTTTTGCAACTCGCCGTCCTCCTCGGGGAACTGGACTACTTGGGTGTCAGGTTCAGATGGGTATTGGCCTGCTTGGAGATAGCATTTGGGCCAATTGGCAAAGTAAGTTGGCACATTTTCTCTTGATTTTTCTCAACATGCACAAGAAGAACTGGTTAAAAGTTGTGTTTCTTTCTGATTCCACCTAAACCACTGACACAGCTAGTTAGTAAACAGCAGGGGTGTGGCCAGTATTGGTGGGGGGGTCATAGGTGGCTTGTGTGACACAGAGGGGGAAATGGTTATCACCAATACAGCTACACAGCAACAAACTGGTTTGAGTTGTTTGTCTTATCATCGTAGTGTAATTTATTCATTCTTTAGAGGGGAGGGCTCAATAGTGAAGGTTTGCCAGTATTTATCTTGGTAAACCAATAAATTTGCAGGCGAAATGAACGTTACTTCAAAAATAGCAGTCTGTATGTAGTCTGCACTACAAAAAAACCTTTGAGACTGTTTTTATCACTTAAACATGGCCCAGGTCACCCAAGGCACCCTTTGGGCACGCCCCTGCTATACATTTCAGTGCATTCATATTCTCCTTTTGTGTTGTTAGAATTTCAGGTGTTAGTCTGATAACCACAAGCATTACCAGCAATCAATTCCATCACATACATTCACAAAATGCAACAAAACATGAGATCATCAACCACCCGACTAGAAAGAATTTGTGAAAGCTTTGTTAGTATTTTAAACCAGATGTAGTTTGGGTGGGGTTTCTTTGTTGTTGTTGGGGTTTTTTTTGTTTTTTTTGGGGGGGGGGACATGAAAACATGAAGTGGTGAATCTAAGCCTGCAGGGTCACACGTGTAGGACAGACCAGCATGACCCCGAGCAGTTTAAAATGGCTACAAGCACAGGGGTGGGAAGACTTAAAATTTAAAAAAAAAAACAACAACCAAAAAACAATAAAAATAAAACGTTCTGTCGGCGTTTGAGCAAGCAGCAGGTTTGTTTTGCAAGGCACAAGCTTTAAAACTACAGATGTTAAGACTAAATTTAGTGGACTTGATTCAAATATCATTTACAAGGCACAAATTAGTTTATTTACATGTCACATGGAGAGAAATGCTGTTAACAGAGTTGCTGCTGCTGCTGTGGGTGGTGATGCTGAGGTGGCTGCACTGGTTTCTCTGGTACAAGTCCACCTTTGTTAGTATTTGTTTTGGCTTGTCGGTGGTGTTGTTTGCTGCATGCTCCTCCACTGAACAAGGCTTCTTTGTTTGGTCTTTGGCTTCAAGATGCAAACAGGCCACTAAAGAGGTCGGTGCCATCACCGCTGCTGCTGGTGTTTTGCTCTACTGTCTGTGAGTCGTTAGTACTCGTTCCCTCTTTGTTGTTGGGATGTTTTCAGCACAGTTTGTTAATTGTTTCCTTTGGTGGTTATCCCTTTAAACAGCTTTAGAGCATATGAGTGATTCAGTTACAGGACTTTTTTATTTTGTGTTTTCAGATGGTCAGTGAAAGCAGCACAGGCGGTATAAAAAGTCTACTATGGTGAACCTGAAACGGGCCAAAGAGGATGGAAGGTGTCAGTCAGGTCAGCAGAAGACAGCAAATCAATAATCTCTATGTGCTTATTAGTTGACTACAAGTTTCACACATGCACTAATCCCCCCACAACAGAGTGCTCAGACATTTTGGGAAGTGCATTTTCTCCCTTTTTATAAACCAGAGTCAGGGAGTATTGGCCCAGCTTAGAATAAAGACTGGAAGCAGATTTAAGCAGTTGAGGTGGTTTGAAGTAATTGCTTCACATCAAGCTCAGTCTTCTGTTTCCAGACTACTAGATGTCCTTTTCCCCAACGATACTTCTCAGCTCATCTTGAGGACTCCCGAGGAATTCCCAGGCCAGGTGAGAGATAGAATCTCTCCAACGGGCTCTAGTCTACTCCAGGGTTTCTGCCCAGTTGAATGTGCCCAGGAGGCATCTTTAGCATCTTTAACTGGCTCCTTTTGACACAAAGGGGCAGCTCAGACTCCCTCTTTTGGAGGAAACTTATTTCAACCTATTTTTTTCTATTGCTTTTATAAATTACTTTCTATCTTATACCTTTTTTGCTGTTTTAATCTACAGAGATTTCTGAGTTATCGCAAAGCATGCATTGGCTTTGCAGGTATCATTTTATACCATGCCCTGTCAGAATCCATCAGCCTAACCCTTGAGTTTCTGTTTTCAGTGTTATTCTAAAGTCATCACATCCCAGACTCATGAACAGGAAAGTGCATCTCCCAAAATGTTGGCGTGTTCTTTTACTGTTGCATTTAATCCCAGATTGCCAAACAGAACTAATGTCTCTGATCACAGACAGGATGCTTTACATACCTATGTATCCCTGCCCATTGTAAGGAATACCGACACACTGAGAGGAATCGCAGTATCCAGGAGGTCCAGGAGGCCCACGGACTCCGGCGTATCCTGGACGTCCAGGAGGTCCGCGAGATCCAGCAGGGCCTGAAGGGCCTGGGGGTCCGGTCCTGCTCTCTCCTGATGGACCTGATGTGTTTAATTAAAAAAAAAAAAAAAAAAAAAAGGTTATCATGATCAGTAGCATTTCAAAGAGGGAGGAAACCCATGTGTGTTCAACTGTCAGTGTTACCAGACTGCAATCACAGCAGGCTGAAGTTTATGGAATCATATTTATTTCATCATATGTGCGAGAGCAAAAAACATAATACCAGCAAATAATTCAGTTTCACTTGCGAAATTAAATTCCTCGTGCGTAAATTCAGCAACGCGCAGCCGCGCACACGCGTGTGTCAGCTTTACACACGCTGCTACAGTTTCACGCTGTCACTGGTAGCTCTGCACTCTGAGAGAAATCCTGCTCATTTGACTGTCTGGAGGAGGAGCCCAAATAAGGACAGGGTCCTAATGTAATTGGACACTTCAGGTTACTGCATTAAACTCAGTTACACTGTGGCAGTGACAGAAACGCTATTTTAAACTGCATTTGATCTGAAAAATAAAGTTTTCTGAAGTAATTATTAACAGTTATTTAGGCAAGTTCTGAAGCCTCTGCACAGAGCAGACTCGTGCATGCACGAAGGCTTCTTTGTGCATATGAAATGAAATTTGCTTTGCCTTGTTATGATATAAATATAATTCCATAATAGCCAATCGCCACATGACTTTTGACATGAGGTGGAATAGAGTTATCTAACTCAGCTTCACACGCTCCCATCCTGCATGGATAATAGGTTACAGTTACAGCTCTGCGGCAGTCCTGATTAGGCCACAAGCCAGAATGATAACCAAGGATAACGGTCTCTAAATAAGAACTGTTGCTGGACGCCAATAATTAACGTGGTACAGACCAAGAACAGCCTTACATATAAGATAACTGGGGTCATAGCCAGGTTGGGGATAGATGATGGTTGGAGTGATTTTTAAGGTGATTTTTAGCTTATTTCATTAATACATGGAATGAATTTTATCCTGACGTTCAGATTATTTGCACTCTTCCTCGCTATACTTCCATGACATGGCTTTAGACACAAATGTGCGTGTAGTCACAAATTTGTGCTTGAACTGCTTCCCTTTTAGAAATAAATGTCCATCATCTCAAAACGATACCAAAACAGGAGCAGGTCTATCATCTTTTTCCCCCCTCTGGGTCTGTTTATTACTAAAAAAAAAAAAAACTGCATTAAGGGGATTCACTTCAACTTCATCTGCAGCCCCCACCCCAGTGTTGCAGATATTGGAGATCACACAGGGGGATAATGGGATATCTGCAAATGGTCACCAAACCCTACATTCAAACTACATGGATAAATCACATCAGCATAATGCAGCATGGACAAAGGTGGTAGCAACATGTCTTTTATTTTTATAAACTTTGCCTCAAAGGAAGGGCGGGACTGATTCTCCAGTAAAAGCAACGTTTATAAAAATAAAAAGATGAAACTGTTCAAATGGTGCAGATCAAAGGCCGGCTGCGTTTTCATTTTCTCAGATGTGAACGCTTTCATGAAGTGCGTTTTGCTTTGAGCCAGCGTGTTTCTGAGAGTCAGAATTTTTAAAAGCCTTCCATGTGCTTTTATACCATTAGAACTAATAAAAACTACAGTTACACTCTTGTATTTGATGTAAACAGAGATGAGAACATTTTATGATATTGTTGTTAGACTACTGCGACTCAACGCAGCTGGAAACAAAATTAATTGAAAAGGTGTCGAGCTGCTGCTGACTGTCCCGGGCATGGAATGAAATGATGTAAACTATGATGGGGGAAAAAGAAGTAGGATGTGCTGATCCTCCCCTCCCCTCTGAATTTTGTCTAGACTTGGACAGAAAAAGATTGGAAAGTTTCCTGCCCGACTGTCTCCTCGTCGTCCTCGGCATGTCCTCCAGGCTGACTCACTGCTCTCCTCTCCCTCCTCGACTCTAACTGCTTCTGTCTGACAGCTGGGACCGTCACAAAGCGGCAGGGTTGCAGTCGTGGAGGATGGAGTGCGATTACATAAGCAGTTGCTGGTGAAACTGCTTTTTTCAGGACCAAAGTTTGTGTTTTTCTTTAACAATGCTGCACCACCACCTGGCTAAATCACTACTTTAAAGGGCAACTAAGCACAGTTTTAAGGAGCAAGAAGACATGGTTAACTGAGACAAATTCAAACCTCTCAGTGAAATATACTCATAGGAGACGGGACGGGGGGTATCTTGCTGTCAAATATGTGTCAACATGTCACAACACTGGTGCCAGAGACTAACAGGAATGGCAGCAAACAAAGCTTTCAGCATTTGAATCAGCCGGCATCTTTGAGTGGGTGGGGGTGGGGTGTGAATAAGGTGAGACACTCAATAAGATGAGTGACAAAGGCAGGTAAAAATCAAGGTTTACATCATCAAGGTAGATCGTTATATGCAAAGGCTCCATTTCCATCATCTTGGCTCAAACATTGAGTGTGTTTGGGTTTTTAGTGGCAAATGTGACGAGACAATAGTTCTGTTTTGCTGAAACATAAATTATTTATCTTTTTTAAGCCTTACAAATCTGTAGGGGCAGTTCAGATGATGGTTTCATCAACGATGATAAATTATGGACTTAGGAATCAGCTTTGCCTGTTAACTTTAGCTGTCAGCGATCTCACCAACATTTTAAGTATTTTTGGTGTCTTGCTAAAGAATGTGTACCTGGAGGTCCCCTCGGTCCTTTCGCTCCAACTACTGAAGTTCCTCGATCGCCTTTCTCTCCTGGGGGACCTGAAGGGGGGGAAAGTCAAGTATCATTAGGCTGGGAGCTCGGAGGTCTCAATCCTGTAAGTTGCAGAATAAAATAAGACATTTTTTCTGTCTCCCTTTACATAAGAGCTCCTACTTAAAAGCTCCTCCCTGTGGTAGAACTTGGCTTTGGAACATTTTTTTTGCCTCTTCTGAAATATGTTTCCTGAATTTTTGTTACATAAAGTGAGACAGGAAAGTGAGACTTCAGAAAGGGGTCCTTAATGAGCAGAAGGTGAGGGTGCAATGCAAATACATTTAATTTCTGATTCTGCCCGGCAACATCTTCAGTAGTTATTCTGTTTTCTTTAATAAGACTGAACACAGGGATGAATGCACTAGCAGCCATGTTCATGATCATTTAGATCGGAGTTTTCTAAGTTTTGTTGACCGAGTGCCAGTGCCAGTAGTTTATCTGGATAAATGAAACATGCAGTGTGCATTGGCCAATCTCCCTAGATTACAATTTGCTGTTTGTGGATCAAAAAATCTCGTCAAATGAGAATTTTAAAAAAAGATGTAAAAAAGTGTCTCTGGGTCAATAGAAGTACTTTTTTCACTGCAGTATTTTTACATTTTGGCATCAGCAGCTTTATTTGATTCGATCTGGACTGAAATTCAGATTAACGATGATGCCAGGCCTTTCTAGCATTCTGTGATGGTTTGGTGCGTCTTAGGTAAACGTTCTGCAGAGTAAATAATCACTTTGCTGCCTTCTGTGCTCCCATTTTAGAAATCATTTGACTTCATGTTTATTTTTCTAACTCCATTTGTTCATGATGTCAGCCTCTCCTGCCGTGCAGCAACTTCTCAGGGGTGGCTCGTACCTCTCTCTCCCTGCTGGCCGGGCAATCCGGAACTTCCGGGGAATCCGTTCCTTCCTGTGGCGCCCGGCTCTCCACGGGGTCCCTGATTGCCAGGAGGTCCAGGAGGGCCCGGAGGGCCTGGGTTATTGTTGCGGTACATGTTGCTGGGGATTTGATTCAATAACGAGTTGACCCGAGTCATTTGTTCTGCAACAGCAGGGTGAAGAGAAAGCAAGAACATTACAAACCACATCGTGAAAGCCAAGAGGCAGAGATTTCTAAATCCATGTCAGGAGGGGGAAAATGTGTTCTACGTACCTTGGACTAACTGTCCGCAAACCTGTCTGGCAATGGATCGCATCATGTTCTGAGGAGCAAAGTCGCCCTGGGTGCAGACAGGCAGGATTTAAAATTGGAAAACAGTGAAGAAAGGAATAGAATAGTTCTTTATTGTCATTGTGCACAGACTTTATATGAGTCAGAAAATGTTTCTCTGAAACTTTTCATTGAAACGTGGCTCAATCAGGATTTTCGTGACCACCTGCTGCTTTTGCACTAAGGAGCATTTGCAACAGCTATAATGACCCCCACCTTTATCTCAAAGGTTGAGGCTATAGAGACCAAACAGCAGTCTAGCAGGGGAAGAGCTGTCGAAAGTCCAAAGTCCTGGCCAAAAGGTTTGCAGAGTTGGGAGCTCTAACAGAAGCTGGCTACTCGTTTTTCTCCAGGTGGTTCAGTGAATTCGTCCCACATGAAGCTTTGGATTGTCCATGCCAAGTTCTACTTTAACATCCTAGGAGAACCTATTGCACAAACAAACTCAACAGTGGTGCGATGCAAATGGGTCCTCCATTATGGAGAATATGGGGTGCACTAATATGAATATCTCCATTCGTTCCCTGCTACTTTGCTCTTCAAAAAAATTGAAATTCAAGTTGAAGGTCGGCAAACTGAAGCGGATCCAACATGCACTACAGATGGTGCTTGACGTCCTGACAGAACAGGACTTCCAGGAAGTGTTCCCAGTGTTGGAAGCATGGCAGCTCTGGACAAGATTACTACTTCGAGGATGGCATCCAATTTCTGTGTGTATATTTTTGGTTTCTGTTGAATGTTCTCCCTTAGACGCCTCAGAGCATTTCAACACCTCAGCACTGATGCAATCTAATGAATGTCCAAAAAGACTAGATTCCTCGTCTCTCTCTGAACCTGAAGTTAAAATTGTCTATGTTGAAATCGGGCTTCAGACTAAAATTTAGAATGGCAGCCGCACTGGATGCCAGATGAACATGCACATGAAGACAATCCAGGAGCAGACACATTTAAAATGGTACAGTTTCTTTCATGGACTTTTTGGTCACACGTTGTACATCAGGAAAATACTCCAAACAACTCGTAATGCTAAGTGATACGTTCCCAGCATTTCCTACTGTTTGCCCCATTTGTCATTTCTCAAGTCACTTATATGTAAATGTATTATTAGAAATTTCCTGAAACGTGAAACTGCACAGGGAATCTAGCCTCTTGTTTTCATCAGCTTGTTGTTGACATGTTGTAGGATATTTTTAATATAATCACTTGTGGACAAAAACATTTGATGTAGGTTTACTCACTCTCTCTCCCTTGTCTCCCTTTGGACCATTGGGACCCTAGAACCAGAGAAATAAAACTGTTAAGAACTATTCAGGCCCAACGTGCTGCTCAATTAACACACAACCCTGCCAGCAAACTTACAGGAGGACCAGAGTCTCCAGGATTTCCTGGTTTTCCTGTGGTACCTGGTACTCCAGGAGATCCTGGAGGTCCCTGCAAGGAAAAAGAGAAGGGTAAGAAAAATATCGATGAGTGGGAAAGAGGACAAAGATGACTCTTGGGAAATATGCCTGCAAAGGTAGTAGAAAGCTCTTTGGAAAGGCAATTAAATGCCTCAATTGTTCACGTGGTTTGCAGCTCTGAGGTGTGCATGTGTCAAACCATTAGAAGTCTTACCATGGGCCCTGGGGCTCCTCTAGGTCCAGCTGGGCCTTCCTTTCCTTGAGGGCCCTGGAAATATAAGATAATGACTAAAACCCTAAAGCCATACAGTTCATCTTTAAAGAATTCAGACCGCATGGATGCCATTAAAAACAGCCTGGCTATACTCACCCTCACTCCGGCGGGTCCCATTGGGCCAACAGGACCAGGAGGACCACGAGAACCCTGCAAACATGAGAAGACCCCTCAGAAAAAAGTATTTTATGCTCATCATCTGTAACAGAAAGTCCACCTTTCCTCTGATTGACCAACTCGAGCTGGTTTGTTTCAGCGTCGTGCCGGACAGTAAACGTCTTTTTCTTTTTTCCCCCCGTGCTCATTTGCTCAGAAACTCTGCTCACTATTTTTATTGTCTCTGGTCTTTGATGCCTTGGCATAAGATTTACAAGGAACATAATATATTCCAGAACCGTTTTATTGGCCATTATAAACCAGGACCGCATGGTCTGTAACTCATTAAATGCATGTTGCTATAGCATCTGCTCCAACATGGTCACCTGCAGCCTCGTTGCTCCAATACGGTCCACGTGGAGTTTGTTTTACTGGCATAAAGAGCTGATTAATCAGTCTTACTCATGAGTCTGAAGCTCTGCATGAACACTGCGGGTGAAGGGTTGAAGGTTTAATTCCCAATTGTGCATGCTGTTCCAGTGCAACAACACTTTGAGCAGGGCAGTAAATTGTTCCAGTCCTTTAACTAGTTGAGCTGACTGGAAGAAATAAATTATTGAATAAAGGATTTGAAGTAGGTAGCACTAATTACTCTTGTTTTTCCATCTAATTCATTGTCTTTTTGGAAATTCTATACAAACACTGAATTAGTTGAAATAAAATAAGTAAGCAAGGGCTTTTAAATAAAGTGGTCATCAACTCTGACACACACACACAGAAAACATACCATATGTGTTGCACACTTTTTTAAAGAAATATGGATGTTAAATGTGAACATGGTGGCAAAACGTTGCCTACTGTTACCAAGTTTTTGAAGGTGACCCAGAGTTTATTAAAACTCTCAGATGAGTTTTCAGTGACAAACCTAACAAATGTTTACCAGAAATTATCTAAAAAAAAAAAAAAAGACACTTTAATCTGTTATTTCAAGGCCAAGTTCAACCTTGGACATGAAGCTCTGATTTCCAACCAAGAGCAGCAACTGTGAATTTTTGACATGATTTCATTCCCAACACTTGTCACATCCCAACACTTGCTCAAGACCCATTGGCACTGCATTTAAATGTTCCTGGTACCATTTAGCCTCATCTATCAAAATTTACAGTTAGGCCCATTCGCAACACTTAATCATAACCTTTTTGTGAGTAAAAATAAAGCAGTGTCCAGCTGTTTCATAACCCTGTAAATACATCCCCTTCCTTTCTACACAAGTTGGTTGCATGTTCACACAAGACCAACTGCTTCTGGTGCTCAACATTACATCAAAGCACCAACACTAAGGAACATCTTATCTCAGAATAGTAACGGCTTTGATAAAACGGTAGATTTCGGTGTTTTGGCAAAGCGGTCATTTTTTTTAAAACTTGGATTGGATCGATTCTTCACCACTCTACCCAGGTTTGGATTCAGTTCTTATTAAACACAAGAAAAGACCTGTGCAGGTACACGTAGTCCCTGTGATCACAAAGCTCAAACATCAGTTTAATACTGGCTTCATTTTTAGTCTTGGATCTGTATGATGTCAAAGAATATGGTAATCTCACAGAAGCACCAACCAACCTTTTGTTTATGAGGGGTAGCCAATCAGATGGCCGTAATGGAGATGCGTTGATGACAGAGGATGATCCGAGTAGCTGCATTGAGGCCCAATATAAGCTAAATATGGATTATTCTGAACTGTGAATCATGTAAAGCTACTCTGGTAGGTCCAAGGATGAAAATAATGACTATAAGGGCGGGGAAACATAATAGGTCCACTTTATTTGATTTACAACACTGTTTTGAACAAAGCAACTAACAATTTTCCACCAGGTTTGTGCAGCCAAATCTCAATAGACCAAAAATAAATAAATCTGATGGTAATAATTTCCACATTGACAATTTGATGAGATTATCTTACTCCAATTTCAAGACAAGTAGAGAAAAACGTTTTTGTTTTGTTTTTTCTGTGTGTGCGTCTTTAAATTTTGGGGGTTCCAGTAGATAAGAAAACATAACGGATTACAGGGAATTTCAGAGCGGCTGACCCAAGGAGGTGATCATGCTACAAACTATTCACTATATGCCTATCATTTAGGGTAACTTTTTATCTAACTGTTCAGTGGGGGAAGAATATGTTTGTGATTAAGGCAGAAGGCAAGCATGGACGGATGGAGAGCCAAACATCCGTTCCAAGCTGCTGATTTCCTTGTTTTCTTTCAATCAGACTATAAACAAACTTTTGGTTTCCCCGAATTTCTACAACAGAGGAAGAGAGCATAAAGTTACCATGAAATAAACCACAATTATTCTTTAAATGATTGCTCCACTTTGTCTGAACCTTTATTTTTCCTGATATCTATTGGAAATAATTTGTCAACCATTGATTATCGTACAACCTTTTGCACGTTTTAGCTGTTAGCAGAACCTGCACTCAATTGGTTGATCACGCCTTTTCTGCAGCTCTGCTTCAAAAATGTTTTTGTGCAGTTTGACATGGAACCTTTAAGGTTGGAAGCTGCACTCTGTTTAAATTCTTCTGAAGTCTTTTAAAGGTCGAGCTTGAAGCTATAAACAAACACCATTCCACATTTAAGCCAGGAACACCTGAGCAGGTCAACCAAAATGAGGCCGAAGATGGCCTGGAGAAAACCGATTATAGGTTTTAGGCATTTCAGGGGCCTACCTGCTTATGGCTTCATCTTAACACAAGCACACCTTTGACCTCTGGTCAGTATCACCTTTCTTTACCTTCTGTCTGTTTGGCCTGGATTCTTCTTTTCAATTCAGCCTACACGAGAGATGCTTCCTTCCAGGAAGAAATGAAAGCACCATCTGATATCTGTAACTTAATATTTCACACAGACTGCTTTCACTTTCATGCCAACGAAGTTAAGGTGTCACGTCTGTCTTTAGGCAGCTCATGCGTTCCCAGATAAAACAGTTTTCAGTGAGAGGAGGATGTAGTGGCTGACCGCGGGTCGACACTTATCCAGCACTGTTAATCAAGGCGACTTGTTCTTGGCTTGAATGTGCGCAGAAACGTAATTTAAAAGTAATATTCAGAAACCTGCAGTGGAGGCACTGTTGGCCTCTTCTCTCTCTGAATTCTCCCCAGCTGGAAAAGCATCTGCGTGCAGCCAATGTGGCCGCGTGCCAGACCAGTAGTCAAAATGTGAATTATCCCCAGTTTCCTGCTTTCCAACACAAACTGATCTGCACTTACTTTCTGCCCAGGTAAGCCTGAATCACCGGGGTCTCCCTTTGGTCCAGGACGGCCCTGAAAACAGAAAGCAACATCATTAATGAATGGAGACGGTGACTCGGAGGGAGAGAACAATTAGAGATGGATCTGTGACTGATGTAGATGATAGCAATATTAACCAGATTAAGACTTGCTAAATAAATCAGAACTCAAATTTTATTTAATGATCCATGTCAGGTTTAGTCTATAAAACGTACATATAGCCAATATAACAATTGTTGGACTAGTTAATATCGTGGTGCTGCATTTTTGGGCCAACATAATGATTGTTTCTGGAACTAGAATTGACCATACTTAGAATAAACTCAAGCACATATGCCAAATGTGCTTTCCACAAATTCCACCCTGTACAGATGTTACAAGGAGCAAACCATGCTTAAAGACCAAAACCATTTTCATTGGCTATAAACTTACTAGTATTTTAAAGTTAACATGGTCATCAATAGGGACTGACTCCCCAGAGGACATTAGAGGAATTGCATTTTTTGGCACAGGCATTATAAATATTTAAACTACATTATGATTTATAGTTGCACAAGAGTTTTGAAGTTTGAAGGTAATGTAAAAAAAAAAGCATTAGCTGTATCTCCCAGCATCTGAAATCAAACCTACAGCCTCAATCGAGTGGATGTTTTAATCCATAAAACCTGTTTAATCCACTGTAACCTTTAATAATATCGTTAGATTAATTGAGTACTAAGCAGCAGAAACTGTCCAGTACTTTCCACAAACCTCTATTTCGTGGGACCTTTCTGGAAAGTGATCTCAGTTTAATCTGGGTACATCTAATCTCTGAGACGGAAATCCAAGCTGCGATTTATTAACATTCAGTGATACTGACGTTCGGGGGCTTCTTGGTATCGCTTATTTCCCTCACACATGAAAGAATGTGAGTCCTTGCCACAGATACTCCCCAGCTTGTAAATTCTCTTTATAATAAATCACCAAGTAATCCCCCCCACTCTGCTCTGTGTGTGTGTTGATGTCAGGTGTGTTTACAGACTTACAGCTTCTCCTGGAATCGACAGCCCGCTCGGTCCTTGAGGGCCGGGCAGACCCATGGGCCCAGGTGGTCCAATTTCTCCCCGCAGGCCCAACGGTCCCTGCAAAATACAGACAAGAGAAATATTTAAACATGGGAGGAATTTATTGTTGATATCTCTTGTCCCAGTTGAAGTGTACTACTGTTGAAATATTTGGAAAAGGCCGGCAGGAGACAAGGAATGCTAATAGAACTGAGCCTTCATATCAAGGACAAGGAGAGCACAAACACTCAATCAGTAAGTGGAATCAGATGTGCTTCTCAAAGCTCTTGCACTTGTACCATCTTTTATTTTCTTCAGCTTGCAAGAAAATGTGAAGCAGCAAGTGTTGAAGGGAAATGCGATAGAGAATTTTTTTTCCCCCAGGAACTTACAGCAGAACCGGGCTCTCCTCTTTCACCTCGGGGACCTTTGCTGCCGGGGGCACCCTGAAAAAAAAAAGATTTTCTAGTTAACACAACAAAGATAAGAAGGACACAAGAGATGCTCGAGGGGGAAATTAGTCTGAACATGCCACAAGGGAGCCAGTCTGGAAGAAAAGCCTGAGGACAAATGTGAAGCAGAGTAAGGCCTTACATGAATGCAGTCACGACCCACAGACACTAGCCCCTAACAGCCTGTGTGGGAGAACTGCTTCCTCCCGAAGGACAAGAGATAGTTGGAGTTATTCAGCAGTTAACACAGTGATTCAGAAAGCACAAAGCTCACTTATAAAAGCTGCAGGCGGCAGGAGAGCCCAGTCCCTCTCACCTGATCAGCTTTTACAACACTGCGTGAAGCCGGATTATTTTTTTCATCAAAGCTGAAATATTTTTAACTTGCAGAGTCTTTGCACTGTCTATGTACGCGTTTTGCATGCTCTAATGAGCGTTTGATTTCTAATTTTAGTATATTTTGAGATTATTTTTAATTACATTTCATTTCAGTTAGTTCCTGGGGAGAATTTTCTGATGTCTGTTTAGTTTTTTTGTTTTCATTAATTTCAATGTTGATTTTAGCCTTTTTAATTATCATTGTGGAGGAGGGCTTAAGTCAGAGGTAAGATTTAGAAAAATCTGGGCAGGATACAATTTTAAAAAACTTTTTGTGAAAGCAGTCAACTCAGTCTTGCAGACATCCAGACTCTCAAAAACATGTCCAATTTCCTTTATATTTGTATTTTATCTTAATTTTCCAAGTTCTCAAACTCTTTTAATTACTTTCATGTTTTTTTCTCAGAAGTCTAGTCTTTATTTTAGCTAAAGATAATAACAATAACCTTGGCCTGAATGCACAGTAGGCAATCATTAATGCTGTTGAAAGGGGGCATTTTAATCCAAACAATGAGCGTTGCCTTTTGAGAACCAATTCTGCTTTTCTTTATTTTCTGTCATTTTCAGACCTTTCATTTACGAGGGGCAGCCAGTCAGAAGAAAGTCGACTTGAAGGGAGAGGAGGCCCAGGATGAGATAAAGAAGGATTATTATTGAACTGTGAGTCATGCAAAGCTATTCTAATACCATCCAAGAATAAAAAATATATGGTTAAGAATTATTCTTTTCCACATCTCTTGTTTAATTCAATTCAATCAATCAATTCAATCTTTTTTCTCCTACATTACCCAACATGCATTGACAGCTCATTGAGGGTTCAGGTGGGGCTGTGTAACAGATTCCTGTGCAGCGTTGTGGGTTTTTGTTTGGTGATAGGAAACCATGTAAAACTGTATGTTTTTATTTTCATCTGAATCATGTTTAAATGTCAACGACAACTAATCTTTTGCAGATATGTAAATATTTCGTGACTTTGCAGATAAATGCACGAAGAACATTTCCTCCTGAGGTTCATTTAAAAACACCCCAAAAAAAAAAAAAGCCCCACACACATCTTGGCAGCTTTATGTTTATTTTCATGGTTTTTTCTGTTACTAATTAGCTTTATATAAACAAACTAGTTTCAGATTTCGTATTCAACGTTGATGTAAATGATGAATTTCCAGCCTTGTATAGTTTTAGCAGCATTTTCAGACCCTGCAGAAAAGCATTCTGTTTCAAGCCCTCAGTCCATTTATCGGGTGATTTAACGATGAGTATGTTCATCTTTTTTAAAGTGAAATCTATTTAAACTAAAAAGTATCTTCCCTGAGAAAAGTAATGCAGGGCTTGTATTCTGTAATGAAACACGTTTCCACAGTGGTTGTGCTACCATGTAACGCATAAGTCAAAGCTCTGGCTTTCCTGGTTATTTATGGCCACTTATGCGCTGTATGTTGTACGAGGGAGAATACCGCGTCCTGAAGCACATTAACCACAGGAAACCTCTTTGCAATGCCTCGTAAAATCTTTTAAGAGAGTGGAGAAAGTAAACTGTGGTGCCTGTCTGACAGCTGATGGATGAACCTACAGCAGCCGCCTCCTCCCTCTGACTGCTTGTACGTGAGGATAACAGCTGACGTTTCTCTATACATTCCTTTTTATTGCAGTACTCCCCACTTCCCTGCGCAGTCTGCAACTTTCATGAGTCTGAAACTGTAAAGGCCTCATACCATTCAGCATGAATATCAGTGAGTTCTGCTGAGATAAGGTGGTCCTGAGTCTGTAAAAAGCTGCCCTGAGTGAAAATTGTTTGAAGCAGTAAATGATAAATTTAAAAAAAATGTGCTTGAAATGTAATTTAAAAGTTAATTTAAATTAGAAACTGAGCACTGCTTTTACCATCATCATGTCTGCGTTAGAGGCTAACTGGGTGTAGCAAACCACCTTTAAGGATTTTATACGTGTAGCCATTTGTGAGTGTTTTTGCTAACTTCAGCAGGTGTCTCTAAATGTGTCTCTTTGCTCACATTATCCTCACAAATCCCTAAAGATTTCACAATAAAAGCATTATCTCTACTATATCTACCAAGCCACTTGATGCTGCCTTGCCCTCCTGACAGCTCTTTCCTCATCCTGCTATCCACCAAAGCTGATTGGACCACAGGACTGGGGCAGTGGTCCAATCAAACTGGAGCCCCAGAAACAGTACCTGCTTTTGAATGACCTTCCAATTCCTCCAGGCCCTGAGTTTCACAATCAGGGAGCTGACAAGTTATCGGCTGTCTGGTTCTTCATTTATAACTGATTGCACCGTAGAGACCTCACATGGCTCAGAGCTGCTGTTCCTATCTCTGATTTGTGTTTTCGTTAGGTAAGAAAGCTCAGGATTTAACTCTGGCCATCAAGATCAGTGTAGGACACCATCCACCTGTCCTACGCTCTCGATTTTATGCATTTCATTTGTGTACACTGGTTAACATTCACAGTTGTCTTTAGAATAGAAAAGAGCCCTACAAAAATGGATAACAGTTTGTTCTCACCACTGGTCCCTGAGGTCCTGGCGGCCCATTGGCCTCCGAGGTGCAGGTGCAGGCGTTAGGAAGAGACGGACACTTCATCTCATCTCTCTGTTTGTGAAAGAAGAAAACAATTTAACTGTCAAAATGATGGGAAAAATGCAAAGGTAAGGCACCGATTGCATTCATGCGAGGTCAAATAAAATTCCTTTTGAAATCGCTGCTGAACAGTCACACGACTCTCATTGCACAAAGACTCTGCACAGGATGTCTGCAGGTAAAAAGTCTTCCATGAGGTGGTGAGCAGAGCAAAAACTGTGCTGTGTGGCGCCCTGTGGTATCATTTATTGGTATCGGCTTCACCGACAAAGACAGTGAAAGTAAACTACAGCCTTCATGTAGTTCATATAAGCTTCTTATATGAACTTTCTGTTCATGAAGCTCTAAAATCCCATCAGTGTAAGGGAAGATACAGAGTTAGCATGGCCCATAGGACAACTGATAAGAAAAATCCTGTGTTGTGAGTATTTCTGAATAATGATGACATCCTTTCCTATTCACGCCAACTGGGAATGCTAACTATGATGTTCAGTTGCTTGGATTTAAAGCATTTGCTAAACACTCATCTTGGACCCAATGTGTGGATATTTCAGCTCACGCAGGACTTTCACATGGATGTGAAACTCCTCTTGTCTTGGTGGATATTTCCACCGAGTCCACGCAGATCGCCTCAGTTTGGATCATTTAACCAATCAAGCAGCTGTCCCTGCTCGGCAGCAATTTAGATAATAATCCGCTGGAGTTAAAGCACTTTTCAAAATGTTTTGGACATCCAGCTGCAGACATACTGCGCTCACACAAAGCTCCATTTGTTACTGCGTCTCTGGAGATCTCTGCTGGGACCGAAGTGAGAAACCATCACACTGAGAGAGGCCAGCCGCTTAACCACAGCCCGAGCTGTTCTTACTGTAGCTGCTGCTGTTGCCCACAGATTTTCACCCCACAAAGAGCTTGACAAACAACAGAAAGCATTTTCACAAACAACGTTTGGACCTGCCCTGGATGAATGAGATTCATATGTTCTCGAGTTCTCTACGGCCTAAAAATCAAGATCTCCAAACACTACTGTTGTTCCTCCTTCTCTTTCTGATCACCATCTAACTGTCCGCCATCAGAATGAGGCTAAGTGAGGGGCGGTCCCTTCCTGTTAAAAAAGGAATTCTTCCTCCCCACAGTCGTCAAGTGCTGCTCACAGTGGATCGTCTGTTGTTGTTGTTCTCTTGCTAATATTCGTGGGTCATCAGCATACAGTGTAAAACCATTTGAGAGGACTGATTTGTGAGTTGGTGCTCACTAAAGCATGCATTTGGAGTACGTGCAGAATGTGGTTTGGCACCGTCCTGCTGAAATTCATCAAGATTTTCTCCAAAGTCTTCTGCCATGTAGCATTAATGGTGCCTTCATAGATGTGCAAGTTACCTGTACTGTACCATACTTTGAACTTTGCTCAACAAGTTTTTGTCTCTTTAGTGGAGAGGATTATGTAGCATATATATAT